CAAGCAGACGCTCATCCGGAGTCAATTCTCCCTTCGTTTTCAAGGACCTCCTAAGGTGTAGAAACATCACCTGGCAAGTGAAAGACTAGCAGATCCGAAAGTTAGACGAATTTGCCAGAATCTTCTCCTTGAGTCTCTTCCAAATGCTCAACCATCAGAAGTGAATCTACACTGCACAATGCTGGGAGATTCGCTTGTGGCACGGTAGAACCAAGCCCACTCTGGCGGTGGATATAAGACTGAAGAGAGACACTATTTATTTCTCGCAGAGATATTCCAGCCTGTCCCGAATATAACTTGACGCGACAAATTATCAGACGTCAAGTGGAAGTAAGCGTCCGAACCGACCGTCAAGTCTAGAGGAAACGGAAAACCAAAGAAATGCCCTAAAATTATTTCAGTTGGTCCGCGCGACAGGCCCCCGGAAACCTCCTGTGACAGAAACCACCAAGGATCAGAAGAGAGTGACCATCTCGAGTAAAGATCATCATCATCAAAGACAGCAACACCAGTGTTGGCACTGATGCTTTGCTGCCGTACAACCATAAGGTTTCTCTAGTTATAGGGGACCTAGTGCTGGCCTATGTCAAGTATACTGAAGTGCCTACAACTCCAACCGCTCAATCAGACAATCTGGAAAGAGACTGACAGCAAGAACACCACTGACATCGATTAGCCGCCATTTCTTGCAATGTCTCCAGTCAAGCACAGACGGGGTCACGGGGACCCCATCCTAGGAGGCGTACAACACTAACAACACCCAAACTCTTCGTGATCCCTCTCACACCTTTTTGCCAAGGCATATGCTGTCCACCTCGCGGTTTGCACCATCCTGAAGGAGGCACGGAGAACAACACTCGTCTCGGTAGACGGTGTTTCGGCATGCGTAGCACATGACCGAGCCATCGTAGTCGATGATGCTGGATGTTTTCCCAGTACAACCAAATACCCGTTTTCTAATCGCCTCGTTACTGATACGCTGACGCCATCCGAAACCAGCCACGCTTCTGAGGCATCGGTGGTCGAAAACCTGAAGACGCCTCACATCATCTACCCGAAGAGGCCATGTCTCGCACCCATTCAACAACACAGCCCTTACTGTAGCCTGGTACACACGACCCTTAAGATCTAGTGAGACGCCTTTTTGACGCCACAAGTGACGCAAATTAGCAAACGTGATTCGAGCCTTTGAGATTCTTGCAGTGACTTCATCAGACACACTTCTGTCAGAGCTAATACAACTACCGAGGGATGTAGAGTTTTCCACAATCTCTAATGATTCTTCTTGAATTGCAAGAGATATGTTCTGAAGCATGACTTTGCAGGGCATATGGCAAAAGATGGTATGATGG